AGCTAAAGTAACTTGTGCCATGCAACTTGAATACTAACGCAACTTATCTCTCATTTAGACGGACAATATCTTCAAATACCTCAGACGGCTTCATCAAATATAATAACAATGGCTGTACGTTTGGCTTTACTCTTAAAATCTTCTCTCTATGCAGTCCTTGTTTATCTTGTTTTAGAATACTCAGCAACAACAATATACTATAATGTCTTAAACTGTTGTTTAACACATTTTCATTTGAAAATTGTTTATAACATTTTCAATCATTTATCAAACATCTTACGGTGCATTTTCTCTCTTACAGATCTATTTCTTGTCTTTCTATTTTTCACTGTAAATATTCTTTCATGATGATATTACTAGTGCAATGTCAAACATCTTTTCTGATGTTATTGTTATATACGATATTTTTTTATTATGAACATAGAAAAGAAGATAGATGTAGAAGATGAAGTGAAGAGGAAACTTTATTTTTGTTATATCTCAATTGGAAGATAGTTTATGTTTTCTTTCATTCAATTTATGGTACATAAGATGTATTCTATTACAGATTTGTTTTCAAACATTAAGTTATAATCATGTCTCAATCGGGCGATAATACATTCAATAATCTATCAAATAATTCTGAAACTCCAGAAAATACTGAACCAAGTGTCGGTGCTGAAATGCTTGAACGATTCTGGCCGGGTATCGCGGAAGAAATACAAGCAATGAATATTGTAAGTAAAATAACTTAACGGAAAAAGTGGTTGATGTTGAAGTGTTTAGTTTTTTGCTTTTTAAGATGGAATTTCGTACTGTTGAATTGCCATTAGCTCGCATAAAAAAAATAATGAAATTGGATGAAGATGTTAAAATGATTAGTGCCGAAGTACCCGTGTTGTTTGCTAAAGCCGCTGAAATATTCATACATGAGTTGACATTACGTGCGTGGCTCCATACAGAAGAGAATAAACGACGAACGCTTCAAGTAAGAATAGAATAAAAGTAATATTTCAAATTTAAATGTGTTTTTATTCTTATTTAGAGAAATGATGTAGCACAAGCTATATCAAAACATGAACAATTTGACTTTTTAATTGATATAGTTCCACGTGAAGAAATTAAGGCAAGTAAAAAACAGGTGAGTTATGAAGAACTAATTTGAAAGATTGTTTTCTAGTGATTCTTTCTTTTCTTTGAGAAAGATCAAGTTGGAGAAATACAATATTTTGTAACGCTGCCTCAATCAACACAAGCAAGCGCTATACAATTACCAAGTACGTTTAACGTTTGAAAGGTATATCACTGCTATCGATAGTCTCATTGTTTGTTTAGATGGTCAATTTATTCAAATACCTCAAACATCTCAATCAAATATTGTCACTTTGGGAGTAAGTGAAAGACTATGTTTTAATTTGGTCTGATGTGAGACAAAAAGTTGACATTATGGATTGAGATTGTGTGTCGCACATATCTTCAAATATTTTTCTTAACTCCATACGTTGAAACAGTTGGTCTAAGTGCATTTTTAGTATTATTATTCCTATAATGAAACATGTCAATAACTAAATGATTTGTCGTTGTTTTAGAATTCTTCTCAACAATATGCTGTTTTGTCCGGTGGTCAATCACAACCTCAAATAATTCAACTTGCTTCACAAGGCTCAGATGTATTATCTCGATTCTCTGACATGAAAATAAACTTTAAAATTCTTCTGCTTCTTTGTAATCGTAGAATGTGCAACAGACAACAACAAATAATAACATTCATTTAGTTACGAACAACAGTAGTCAACAACCATTACAACATCAGTCTCAACAACAAATATCTGTTGCTCCGACAGCAACAATAAGAACACAACAATCAGCAGCTAATTCTACACCAACAACAAGTTCATCTCAACCGTCTTCTACTCATGTAAAAGAAAAAGAAAACGAGTTTGTTATTAAATAAATACGTATCTTGGTTTTATATTTAGATAACAATAACAGCTGCACAATTACAACAGATACTAAATGCATCAAGAAATAGTAGCAGTAATACGCAGTTTGTTGTTCAGCAATCGACTGAAGATGGAACAACTACAACATCCTCAGCCTCATCTACCCGTTAGAGAAAGAAATCAAGTCGTGTGTTGTTTTGAAACTACTTCTAATTGTTTTATATCTTTTTTTCTTTTATCAGAGACTTATTGTATCTATTTGTTTTTTTTCGTTTGTTTATTGTAGCACTGTTACATATTTTGTGTAGAAATGTTTTTAATCCAAGAAAGAATAACTCAGATCATGTTATAGTTTTGAAACCAAGAAAAAGAGATGTGTTTGTTCCTTCTAATTGTGTTATATTTCATTATTTGCAATATATCAACTTCTTTGTACGTACATAGATAGACATATACGTTATGCAGCTGCATTTTGGCAGCTACATTGTAAATTATATTGTAATAATAAATCATGAAACAAAAATTTGTTCAAACTACGGATGGTGTACATTTTTCCTTTGAAGAATAAACACAGTAAGAAAAGCTTTCACACAAAACATTCTAAAAAAGCGTCAACTATAGAAATATAGCGATAAAAATGTTTAGTAGAAAAGTTCCCAAAAAATGAGTAGCACTCAACGTGGAATAATATGTAGAAATTTAATGTATTTGATCAATGAAGGAAAGTTCAATTGCCATAATATTCCTGCATTTTTAATGCTCGTGAGACTGGATGTTGTGAATTATTACTGACTGTTTACTATGTCCGATTTCTGAATGAAGATAGTTTCTATCATGTTCTTATTCAATAATATCAGGCACGTCGCTGGAGTTTGTCCCATAACAAGATCCACTAAACTACGCAATCTTAATGTTCTGAAGGATTTTAGGAGCAAGACATTGTGGTATCGTTTCGTAATTTCCTTCGTTAAGGGTAGTCAACCAACAGAAAGTGTTCGGTTAAGTCTGAAGTTATGAGGCCGTCGGATGCGATTATGTCATTCTCCAGTGGAATAAAAAGATTAAAATTCATAAAATTGTACAAAAATAGAAAAATGACTATCTGTTCATTAAATCAGTCCTCTTGTTTATTTCTTCAATAACTTCTGATTCGACAGAGACCCGTGGTTCCTGATATTCAGAATTGGAAGCCTGATCGCATCTTTTCTTGACGCAAAACAATTTAACAACCTTTTTTCAATAGTAAGACTTTATGCGCTTTGGAAAACTAGTTATTCTGGATCTTCTAAGATTAACAGGAATATGCTCGTTTCTCAGCACAATTTTTTCCTGTTTGTACCATTAGACTTCTCTCTATGCTGCGATGTTTAATAACGTTTCTGACTCTAAGCTTTTTCTAACAAGAACACGACTTTATTGTAATATGAGCTTTACTTGTGAACTGTCAATCTTTGAGACTATTTAAAATTACTACTATACCAACATTTAGAGCAAACTGCTAAGTAATTGTATTTTTATTGTGTCTATATCCATCATTTTCTTTCTTCTACCTTTTGTATCTGTGGTTTTTCTTTTTTTCTCTGGTAGTAGCCGTGCATTTTCTTTTTGTATTAGAGGATTTAATAAGGCTACATTATACTCATTTTGGCTAGCTACTTAGCTATTTTTCATGTCCTCCACTTTTGATGAATAAAGTTCATTCATTCATTCACATTGTTAAAGAACTTTCGTACAGATATCGATTCTGCAAGGTGTGAAAAACACCTATTTTCTTCTTCAGTTTTCTGCCTCTCCCATAGTTTCTGTCATACTGTAAAGAGTCAGAACCTAAACAAGGAAGTCGTGACAAAAGAATCTAAAAGCAACATGATTTACGATTTATTTTTCAAGATAAGTGGCCCAGATATTTGACAAATTCAGTCATCCCTGCTCTATTTCTTGATGAAGCGAAACAATTATCAAAAAGCTTTTAACGTAACATAGCAAGGTAAATAACCAACAAGAATAACAATAAGATAAATTTCTTGAATATTTACGAGATTAATCAGGCATATATACATTCTTCTTTCATTGTCTATGCCCTATATTAAAAGTAAGTTTTTATTTTCTCTTTGGATTTTGCTATATGCTTTAGATATATCTCGCAAACCCTCAAAAAGAGCCGTATAATTCTGTTTTTATACTCCTAGTCAAGTTATAAGAAGTAGAGAAAAAGAAAAGACAAACGATTGTAATGTATGCAATCATATTTGTATTATTTTGCATTGTAAAATTATCATCTCGATAACGCTATCCATGTATATATAATTGTTCTTCTACGTTCAACTGTGATCCATCTTGAGCTGGTCACGCTTATGGTGCTAATTGTACATCAGCTACTTGTACAGATACATAGTAACTTATGTATCTAATTCTATTCCACACCAATTTATTGCCTCCTGCTCAAAAACTGAATCTATCCTTCTGAAAATCAAATCAAATAAAAGTGATATTTTTATTTGCTCTTCGTATAGAAAACCTTCTATTATAGTTAAAGAGTATGAAAAATATTTTGAATTGTTAGAACTTTTTCTCCTACGTCATGTTCAGCCCTCCTCTCAGTTACTGCTACTTGGAGATTTTAATGCAGATCCTACAAAAAATCCAAATGTACATAAAGTTCTCCTAGATACGCTCTCAGTGTTTCAATTAGTCCCCTCTTTCTCTACTTATACAACCAAGCATAAAACTCTGCTTGATAATATTTTCTACCCTTTTGATTGGGATCCTCCAGAAACATCAGACTCTCCACCACTAGGTGGATCACCACATTTTGTCCTTAAGGTAGTTTTTGAGAATTTATTCATTGAGCGGATTCGTTCTTCAGCAAAGCGAAGGGATTATGAGAAATGCAATTGGCCTCAGTTGTTAGTAGAGTTAGCCAATATAGACTCAAACTTTTTCAACACAAAAACATGTGATGAGGCTTTGGATATTTGGTCTACCCATTTATCAGCCTGTGTAGATCACTGTGTGCCGTGGAAACAAACTCAGACTAAGTCTATTCACTTTAAATATAGCCGTAGTTATTATCATCTGATGCGCAGGCGTAATTGTGCGTTTCAGACACATAAAAAACGTGGCACTGTTGAATCACAAGCATGTTTCAAGAAATGGCGTAAGGAAGTAAAAAATGCTTTAAAAAAACTGAAGCGCGTTCATTTTACACGCATTGCAAAATCTTTCACATCACCCGCTACTTTTTGGGCAGCAATTAATCGTATAAGACAGGGTAACACTGGTCTCCCTGCAACAATTAGTAACGGGACAAAAATAGCCTCAACAGAACAGGAAAAGGCGGATCTATTCGGAGATTATTTCTCCAACTGTACCCTACCTGTTTCTGGACCAATGCCTACACCTATAACTACCTTTTTACCTACGTCTACGTTAAACCTAGTTTTCCCGTCACCACAACAAATATCTACGGCCATAAATAATTTACGCGATGATATTGCTTGTGGCCCTGATGATATACCAGT